AAATAGTTCCATCTGCGTACTGCAGCAAAGTAATCCCCGGATGTTCTCCTACTTCGATGCCTTATAGGAACCCCCCCTTTATTGCTTTGTTCACCATTGAGCTGAGGGCCTTTGTTATGCAACTAAAAAGGAATGGAGATAGAGGAGAAGCTTCCTATATTTGTGAAAATTACCTGCTGAGCTACCATTTATTAACATTGAGAAGCTTCCTATATTTGTGCACACCTTCATCCAGTTCCCCTATTTCCTTCCAAAGTTGAACCACATCATCATATAATCCAGGAGTTCCCAATTTACATGGTCAAAAACTTTCTCCAAGTCTAACTTAAAGAGGACTCCCTCTTCCCCACTTCCTTGTCTTGAATCAATAAGCTCATTTGTTATTAGAATCCCATCAATGATCTGCCTTCCATCAACAAAAGCTCCTTGGGAATCTGAAATCAGATTTCCCAACACTGATCTTAGCCTTTGTGATAGCACTTTTGAAATCAATTTGTAAATACTTCTGAATCAATCTTTTAGGCAAGCTGCCCCTTTCTTCTTAGGGATTAATGATAGAAAGGTGGAGTTTAGGCTTCTTTCTAAGGCTCCATTTTGATGGAACTCATCAAACACCTTCAATAAGTCTCCCTTGATGAAACTCCAGCATTTTTTATAAAACTCCATTGTGAATCCATCTGGACCAGGGACCTTATCCCTTTCCATTTCTTTGATAGGAATGAAAATTTCTTACTTTGAAAAGGCTTCCCCCAAATGGCCAGCATCTTCCTGGGGTAAAGTTCAAAAGTTCAGGCCATCCAACTTTGGCAGCCTATTTTCCATCTTTCTTCATAGAGAATCTAGTAAAAGTTGATGGATGCACTTCTGATTCTTCCATCCCCCTCAATCACCTCTTCTCCTTCCTCCAATCACTTAATAAGATTCTGTCTTCTTCTTCCATTAGCCAACTTGTAGAAGAAAGATGTGTTTCGATCCCCTTGTTTCAGCCATAAGCATCTGGATCCTTTGTCTCCATTTGATTTCTTCTTGATAGAAAACTTATCAAAATCCAGCTTCGCCTTAGTCCTAAATATTTCCTCCATAGAAATTGTCCTCTGTTCTTCCGCTTTGTCAATCTCCTCAATTGTTTGTAAGCATTCAGATTTTCTCCGATCTCTATCTTTAAAGTTTTGTCTGCTCCATCTATTTAGTTCAGATTTCAGGTGAGATAATATTCTTACTATGGTAAAGTCCTCCCACCATTTCTTCAAAAGCTCCAAGATTCCTTCCTCTTCCAGTCACATATGCTTGAAATTGAAAGGGCAGTTTTTTACTGAGGCAATTCCTTTGCAATCTAAGAGGATTGGGGAATGATCTGACATGGGTCGAGAGAGAGCTTCTTGGGAAAGGTTCGGAAACTTGTCTTCCCATTCAATAGAAATTAAAAAATCGTCCAGTTTTTCCAGTACTGGTTCCTCCTGATTGTTTGTCTAGGTCAAACTTGCTCCTGTTAGTGGAAGGTCCACTAATTCCCATCTTCTCATGAAATGAGAGAAGCCTTGCCTGCCTCTACATCTATGGTTTCCTCCAAGCACTCAAGGTAACACCCACCTCTCTCTAATCCCATCCAGTTCAACCCATAGCTCTAACCTTCTGCTGTCATCAGTTGGGTCGTAGAGACCAGTTAAAACTCAATTAAAGTGGTCTCCAGCCGACTAAAATAAGATACATGTACTAGTATCTTAGAGAAAGATACATATGCTAGCATAGTTTCTTTTTTCTTTTTTTGGGTAAAAGATGTAGCATGTGTGAGCATCAAGTAACAGGCACACAACAATCCAGAAAAGCTAGTGCAAGTTTTTTCAAGCATACTACTTGTTTTTCCATAATAAATTAATTCCAGTAAGTGTGCAATACAACATGACAAGAATAAACAGATGTTCATCAACATTATATCAGCAATAGCTAGAAAATGAGATAAATGATCACCATCAACATCCATGCCTTGTGCGAACTATACGAGATAAATGATAGAATTATTTTTTTTTAATTGAACCAATAATCAGGTTAGAGGGAGAAAAGGGGGACTGGGAAAAAAAGCCAGTATTTATGGCAAAAAACAAAGTGAAGAATTGGGCAAGAATTTAAGAAAACGTAACAAAGGAACTAGGTTTCAAGCAACAGTTCTAACACCTTTCAATGAGAGAAAGGCCATTCTGGATGCAGGTAAGACGAAGGTGGATGTTGTGACAGTTGTTACGCAAGAGGGGACTGTGACAATTGGGAAATGGTTGCCATCTTGCAACTCTCTAGAGATAAATGGCAACTGTTTTCAGTTGAACCTGTTGGGCTTGCCTTTCAATCTTTGGCAAAGGAGCATATACTTGAGCAGATAGTGACAGCGATGGGAGGAACGTTGCTTTCAATTAACAAACATGATCTGAGAGTGGTACGCCTGAAGATTGCTGGAGTCAAGCCAGAGTAGATTCCGAGATCCTTCATGCTGCACGCCGGAGGTCTATGGAACAGAGTATGGGTGGCCACGGAAGTGGAAGCGACACTCTGATTCGGGAAGACGAAGGAGAATGATGACTTTGCCAGATGGGTTACAAATGGCAAGGCATGGGTGAATGAGTACAGTGAAGTGGGCACTGACATTGAAGCAGGAAAGGTTGCATAGAGGATTTCAGCAAGGCGTTTCAAATTCCAGACTTGATTGCAGGAAGAGAACGGGTAATAAAGGAGGTTAATGAAGAAAGAGATTTGCATGGGGAAAGAGGCTGACATGGGGAAGCTACATCGAAAGAGGCCCACTACTTAAAGAGAAGAGTTTTGAAAAGAATTTAGCTGAACCAGCTGGTCCACCAGCAGTTCAAAAGTCACTCGTCAGGGTTTAGAAACTCACGTGACCACAATAGTAATCATCCATTGCTTGGGCCTTTCATAAACTCAAGCTGTGGGGTCTATTCAAATACATTTTCCATCTCTCCTGGGTCCTCCTCCCCATGTTTACAAGATAGGACCTACAGGGGCTCAATGCATGCAGGATTAGATGATTCATTTCCAGAAACCATGGGAGTAGTGGCTAAGGAGCATGGAGCATGAACTCCATCAGCTACCTCTGAACTGGGTTCTCGACTAAAGACCTTGTCATGTGGTCATGCCAAAAAGAAATGTCAAAGGAAGATCAAGGTTGCAACGCCGAAGAGATTGATGACAGGAAGGAGATTCAGTTCAGGAGAAAGGTAGTTGGCAAGATAAAGTTTCATGGGCTTACCAGACCAAAGTTTAAAAGGAGTGGAACAATAGGAAGGAGGATTTCGACCAAGGCCAGAGAAAGATGGGTCTAGGTGGTCGCTAGATACAACAAAAATGGTAGGAAGAGGATTGTAGGTGGAACTCAAGGGATTTGCAGCGAACACACTCCTCCCAAGAATGGAGATGTAGGACATCCTTTTTACGAAATTAGGGATCCCAAAAGGATTCTTGGTTCTTCCAATCCCGAGGTCACAGAGTTGACACCCCTTGAGGTTGGGTGTGATCTTGGAGCACCAGGCTCAATGGCATAACAAGAAAAGGTCGGTGCCAAGGATCCAGGATCTAGCCGTTAACTCTGAGAAAGAAATTTTTAAATTTTCAGACAGGTGCTTTCATGTGGAGCCAATAGCAGGGAGATGGTGCAGGTAACGAGGAAGGTAATGAGTGATGGAAAAGCTGAAGATACAGACAAAGGAGTGTGGATTTCGATTCCAATTGGAAAGCTGGGGATGGAGCTAGGCAGGAGAAGAGTTGTAACCAAACTGGGCCAAACTAATTTAGAGAACCAAAAGGCAGATGATGTGCGGGAAATGAGAGGTTACAGTAACGGACAGCTTGTTCATGTAACCAAGGTTTTTCATCGTCTCAAGGAAGGATTGGTCAGGAATGGTCCTTGCAGATTATTTAAGAGAATTTACAAAAGGAAAGGACTGAAGACAAACTCCAGATCTCAGAAATGTCGGATCAAAAGCAATGTTGCATATGGTTTAGAAGCTGATGCAGGCAGTAAAACTAAGGCACACAGCAGAGACCAGAAGAAAACCAAGGAGAAGAAGTTTCAAAGACTGGAGACAGGAATAGAGAGAGGGAAAGAGCAGAACAGATTCAAAAAGGACCAAGAAGCCAAGGAATTAGTACAAAATGGGAAGGTGAATATCAATAATTTGGTGGAGAGGGAGGTCGAGATAGGAAAGTCTCTTGGTTTAGTCTTTTGGGGAGGGGAAGGCTTCGCAAAAATAACATTTGAGATGTTTGAAAAAAAGGAAAGAGAAGAGAAAAAGAATAAGGAAGAATACTTGTAGAAAATCAAGGGGTGGGATGAGGAAGGGGGAGAAGAGGAGGGACTGGACGAGATTAAGTGATCTTGGGGTTGGTGGGAAGACAAGGAGAGGGGGAGGAAGTTGAGGTTTCTTAGCTGGATTGTGAGGGGTATGAAGGAAGGAAGGAGGAGGAGGAATGTGAATGGGTGGGAGCTTTGAATTTTTGATAGCAGGAATGGGCGATTTGATCAAGTCTCCAAAGCTGATTTGTTTGAAATTTTCTGGAATTTCCTTGATTTATAGCCTTGTAATGCAGAATCCTTTGTGAATGTATTTGGTGTG